GCGCGAGGAGTCGGGGGGGAGTGGGTGCGGAGCGTGAGGCAGAGAGGGGGAGAAGGCGAGCGGGAGAGCCGAATCTCTAGGGAGGAGCCCGAGCGGGATTTCTATCCCTCGAATTCCAAAATAACCGTTAAGCTTGCGTTGGGCGGGGAATTCATTGATTTCCAAATCCAGGGAAGATTAAATGGAAATAATCAACTCCTGAATTAATTTAAATTAAGGCAGAATTTAAATAATTTATTTAAATTTTGAAATTTGAATTTCAAATTCAGGTGAGCTGGTGCCTAGCCCGTGCTCAGCTCGAGTCCAGCCTGAATCGAACCCGAGTCAAACCTGGGTTGAGTCCGGGCCCGCATCCCGCTAAAGGAGAAAAAGCATCGGTTTCCGTGCAAACTGTGTGCGCGTATAACCCCGATAATATGGGTGTCCTTCCTAGCTAAAGTTGACGTTCCGGACACTTCGGCGCGGTCCGTTTCGTCATTCGGGGTCATCCGGACGAGTTCGCCGACGGGCGAGTCGATTTAAGCCAAAATCGTGTGTGATGCAGTGAGTGCGTGAAAAGCGGCGTTCGCGAGTAATCGAGTCACAAAGGGTTCAACTAAGGCTGTTGATCCTATAGGAACTCAATTTCGGGCCCTCTACATGTTGGTCCTGAGCACTTGCAACTAAAAGTTGAGTGCTTGGAACCACTCATGCGAGTTCTTCACAGAAATGAGTCAAGAAGTGGCTTGAAGTTCTACGGGAGGTGGGCTCCATTACTAGTCCGCTAGGATGGTCAACCAGGAACTCCTAAGGCTAGATTATAGATTCTAAGAGTAGGAGACTAAGACCTCACTAAAAATGAGGTCAACAATGACCTGCCTAGCTCACAAAAACAGAGGGCCACCAAGCCAAGCCCCAACTTCATGAGATAACAAAATGTCTTACTAAATTTTATTTATATTAATGCTATCTCATTGCAAAAGGGCAATACCATTTATATAGCATCATGAAGAGGAGAGAGAGAGACAGAAAAAAGTTGAGTACATCAAATATTAGATCAAAATAATTTGAAATTTAAAGCTTGAGAACTTTTTAATTTCCTTTCTTGATTGGATGTTCCTTGTTCATTTCCCACATGTTTTTTTCAAAGCCATGGCTAAGATAGACTTCGCAAAAAAATTTAAATTCAAACTTAATCAAATGTGCATGATGTTAGTGTTGCCAAAATTCATTATGCTCCAACGTTGGATGAAATTTAGAGCTTCCAAATAATTATTGCCTCCAAATATTTAAAATTTGAATGGAATGATATTAAAATGTTCCCTGCTTGCTATCTTGGCCAAAATAACTATGCTGCCTTAGTCTTGGCTGAAATATCTAAGCTTCCTTATAAGCCTGCCGCCAAATTTTTAATTTTGAATTATGATTCATGTGCTTAAAAGCCTTCATTGTTTTGGCCGAATTCTCACCTTTCAAATTAAACCATCATGAAGCATGGACAACTCTCCTTGATCTATTTTACATTTGAACTACTTAGACAGCCGACCGCCTCATTTGATGTAATAATTGATTTAATTTAAATCAATTTATTCATGCAATCCAAAGTTCATGCTCAATAATTTTTTCAACAAATGCTTGAAACATAAATTAATAACCACAACCCACAATATGATGAAATTAGGAGAAAAAAAATAGATTTAATATGATCATGTCATCATAAGGGAATTTTTCAAGAAAAATACAAGTATTTCATGCCATTTTCATCGCATCCACCATGTCATTAACTTTGTTGTATACTTTGAGACCATTACTCATAAATTATGGCTAAGAAATTTTATTTAAGAACTTGGAGTAGTCAACAGTATTGTCAAACCACTAAAATTTATTATCACAGTATCACAAATGTCCTCTTTTTCTAAGAACAAATCTTTAAAGGGTGCTATGCATATAAAATTAAAATATTTTGTCGTTAAAGAAAAAATTCAGAAATAAAGAATATCATCCGTGCACATTAGTAATAACTTTATAGTTTTGAATCGATTAACTAAATTTTATTTATTATATTGATATGTAGATAAACAAAATAATTTTGTGAATATTAACTGAATTTATCATTGACAAAGGCATTATTATAAGATCATTATAACTTTATCTCATTAAAGATTATATTAAGTATGAAATTAATATTGCGTGATATATGAAAGAAAATATATCGCACTACCGATGCATGGCTGCCATGATCCATATTTGTTTTTGCATGATGATGAATTTATGATTTATTCAATCTAAAAAAATATTTGACAAATACTGCATTTTATGTTTATTATTATTAAAACATTCAATCCAATAATATCACATGGGCCAAGTGAAAAAATATTATAACATAATTATAAATAACATAAAGGGCCTACATTATATTATCATTCAATTTATAATTTAATGATTAAAAATGTATTTAAATCCTAGTTATAAAGAAAATTAATTCATTAAATGTTTATGGACTGTTTGATTAAATAACCGTTTTGCAACTAACATACCTCTTTCTATCCCATAAGAATTTGTCTTTCTCTTCATTAAGAAAAAACTACAATAAGAAGAATGATTAGATGAAAAGGTAAATAAGCCTAATTTCACAAAATTTTCAAAAGAAAATCATTATAAATCAAAGTAAGTCTTTTCTCCTAACTAAAGTTTACCATTCTAGTGAAAATCATCTTATTCAAGATGTTTATTTTAAGAGTCTATGCAATTAATTTGGTTCGCATAATTAAGAATGAATTTTCATGAATGCGAGAATTCTTTTAATGAAATGCATGATTTACAAAATTCATAACTATAATTTACCAAAACAAAATGTTATAGTTTCTACAGATTAGACTGTACCGAACACAATGGAACTAGATAAATGGATTGATAAAAGCCAAGTATTAAATAGTATGATACAGAACATAGAAGCATATAAAGAGCAATAATTCAGGAACGAAAACAATACCAACTTCCACTTCCACAGATTGGATGCCCGATTTCGGATCAACGTTTAGGTCAGCATCTTGCATTTTGGAAGTTTTGGCCAGACCATCGAATTCCTCTCTAGCCTCACCAACTCCTAAATCCTTCACAGAATTATTTTCCGTTCTCCCTGATCGCTCTCGAACCCCACCCTCTTCCATGGCCCCAATCGAAATTCCACCCCCATCATGTTCCAACTTCTCAGAACAACCTGTAATTTCAGTGACATCCTTCCCTGCGTTGCGCGCAACTGCATCCAAATCCGTCCTCTTATCCACGAGCTCTGCAGCCACAATCTCCAAAAAAGATGGCCCCATCTTCCGCCACGCCTCATCCAAATACTCCCTCACCAACCCCATTGCATCTCCTACATCCCTCTTCAAAATCTCCTCGCCTCCTTTACCAGTCGAGAGGCACCGTTCCATCTTCTTCCCCCACTCCAAGAACGGCTCCGAAACGAGACCCTGCGCCACGTCCGACATCCAGATGCTCTCAACGACGTTAACGAAATCCCTTCGGCTACTCAGGAAAGCCGAAGCGGTGCACTCGACCGCCGCGGCGCAGTAAGCAGCCTTGAAGCGGTTCGAGGGCCTTATCCTGCGATGCCTGTCGAGCTCCATTATAAGCTCGAGGGCTTGGAGTGTGCTCACCGAAATAGAGCGGCGGCGGACTTCGGAGGAGATGCCGCGGAGGAGGAGGATTTTGCGGAGGTGTGGGTGGACATTTGAATGGGAATGTAGGAAGCGGAGTAGTTCATCAGCGAGGGGGTCGGGAATGGGCTGTCGAAGCATGAATTCGAGGATCCAGATGTTGGTGATGTGCTCAGCCGGCGGCCGGGTTGTGGGACTGGAGAGAGGGTGTCGAAGAAGGGTTGGGTAAGGGAAAGTGGAGGAGGAGGATGTGGACGGTGCGGCCATTTAGATTGGAGGGAAGATTGATCATTGGGATTGTTTATTGTGGCTTTAGGGTTTCTTTAGGATGGATGGAAACTATAAAAGGGAATGAGAAGGCGGCGGCGGCGGTTACGGTGGCGGTGATGCTGAAGCGAGGACGGCGAGCTGCGTGTCAGGGAGGAGTAAGAAGTGCTGTTTGACTGGATCAATGGGATTGAATGGGCATCAAATTCTGAAAAACGTTTTGGTTAGATTCCGCTAAATTTGGATGAACTGTTTCTAGGAGTGTAAAGGAGCTCTTTAGGGAATAGTGATTTTGACAATTGTAATCATGCAGTCGAATAAATTTTAAAATTATTATTTATATTAAAATATTATTTGAATTTAATTTAATAATTTTTATTCTATTTTTTTAATTAATACTTTTAATTGATTATAAATTTTTTTAAAAATAACATATATATATATATATATAGCCGAACACAAACGAACAAATTTTTTTTCATGTTCAGTTCGTTAACTTAGCGAGCGAACCGAACACGAGTTGTTTTTATTTATTTTGAGATTTAAGTTTGTTAATTTAATTAGTAGAATATTAATATTTATTTTTTGTTATGATTTAGTTATTAAAATATGTTTATCATTCTAATTATATTAATCATTGATTAGTAATTTATGGAGTAAGTAAATAATTGATTAAGGTTATAATAAATTAATTTATCACTAATTAACATTTTATGATTTGTTGGTTTGTCAAAAATAGTATTTTATTAATTATAAAATAGTAATTTGCTAAGTTAATTAAATAATAATTTTATATTTAGTCATTTTATTTAAAGTTATATTGCTTTAACTTTATATATATTAATCATTAATGGTGATGTGTATTGTCGAATTACTTATCATTGGGAATCTTGAAGCATTCTAATTAGAGGAATCTCATTGGAAATTGATTAGAGGATCAAATAAACTCAAATTTAATATATTTATAATTAAATTGAGCATTTTGATGAGAGAATCTAGTGAGTCAACTATCGTTCAATTTTAATATGAATAATACAATTAAATGATGAAAAATTCATCTATATTTATGAAATCATCACACATCGTTTGATGAAGTTATTTGAGAATTTTGGCAAAACTAATAAAAAATATCTTTTAAAAAACTATACAATCTTTCAATTCTTCATTTGAAAAAAGAAAGTAACATAACTACTAAAGCATAATTCTTAAAATCCCAACAGTTGTCACCTATCACCTGAGATCAAAATTGACCACCTGAGTTCATCGTTGACCACCAGAGATCGTTGTCAATCATCAGAAATCATTGCGGACCAAAAAAGTTTGACGTCGGCCACCGCTGATCATACACCAACCACTAAAGATCACCACTAACAATCAGAGGTCGCCGCTAATTAGAAAATTAATTTGAACGATTCAATTCTCATATTTTACAACTTGTATTAATTAATTTTTTTAGGCTTCCTTTGGGGCAGATGCAGTTTATTAAGAAGTTGTTGTGAAACCGTTGAAGAATAATCTAATATTGCGGTAGCTAATGACTATTATAATTTATTTATTTTTTTAAAGTCGAATTGCATCTAGAAAGCTCACACTGCACCTAGCCACGAGAAGTGGGAAAATGCTAGTTTCAATCGTAGTTTTTTGAAAAACCGTAAAAATTAAGTTTATATCCAAACAATCAATAGCAGGTTTATCTTTCTATGAATCAAATGTTTTTTTTTTTTTTTTTGAGAGAGAGAGAGAGAGAGATATTTGAGAGAATTTTATGTTAAAAAGATTTATACCTCACATAAAATATGAACATAAAAGATTTTAATTGAAAGATTAAGCTGTAAACTATGGAAAAAATATTACATCAGGAATCCGCACGTAGAGTTACATGCGGAGTCCAATGAAATTACGTCGTTGAGGTGATTGACCCGGTAACACCAGGGAATATTTCCCTCGTATTCTTCCGTGTTATTCATGTGTTATTGTATGTTATTTGGTGTTATTGTGTTTTTGGAATATTCTCAATGTTATAATAATATAAGAACAATCAATAATACTTGAATAACACAAAATAACACATGAATAACACACAATAATACTTGAATAGCACGAGGAGAATATTCCCTTATGTTACCGGGCCGATCACCTCTACAGATAATTTTATTTGACTCCACACATAACTTTACACGTGCCGAGTTCTGATGTAATATTTTTTCTAAACTATGGCGTGCGGCAGGATAATTCTATTGCAGGGCCGTCCGGTCAGCTTTCGGTTCCATTCACGAGCGCTGGAACCGGATAAGGAAAAGCAAAACTCCTGTTTTGCAATTTTTTACAGGTGAAAATAGCTATGGGCGGGAAAATTCAACTTTGAATTGCCAGATCACTCTAAAGTGCGATCCAGCGGAACTCGCTATGCCCGATTCAAACTAGAAAATTCCACAAATTGTGCATGTCACGTCTTGATAGCCATACAACACCTATAAGCCTTTATGTACAAGGCGTTACATAACCGACTCTTTATTAAGGAAATAGCAAGTTGTATTACCATATTATTTTAGAAATGTAATAAAGTATTGTTTTGAAAATTAAATTCTTGAGCCTAACTTTAAATGAATTAAATTCAAATAAAATATTAGTACTAAAAATGCATAGGAAATGTTGCTAAATGGGGGTAAAATTATCTTTAATTTTCTAATCTTTATCTATCATCATTTTGCCTAAATAATATAAATTCATTAGCTACCATTCTCTATCTAATGCCTACATTATGATACATAACACCATTTTCGAACTATAAATAATATTTGTGTTTAATCTAAGTCCCATAAAAAATTGAACTGGAAATATGAATGCATTTAAAGTTATTTAAAAAAAACAAACTATCAAATTTAAAGATGCTTCGAGAAAAATTATTTCATACGAACACCGTATGGAAAAATGCATGTGGTGTCCGATCTCAACTGCTCATCACTGCTAATATGTATTTCGGTAGGTCATAAAAAAATAAAAAATAAATAAAATGGGTCCCACCAAAATACGTATTTGCAGTGATGAGCGGTGGAGATCGGACATCACCTGCACTTCTGTATGTGGTGTCCGTATGGAATAATTTTTCGATGCTTCGATCAAATTTTAGAGATGGTTACCATCATAAATTTCTGATTTTGACATTAAAATTTTGACTTTTCATTATATTTTGCGGCTAAATAGAGATTTTTAAAATATTTATATGAAATTTGAGACTTGGGCTAGGGGTATAGAAGTCACAAAAAATTTGCATGATTAGGTCTTGTTATTTTTTCCAGTATTAGGCTGTTCCTTTCAAGTTTTGAATTCCTGAACAGTTCAAATCTATATATTTTCAAGCTTCACTAATTGGTTGGGGCATGTAATTCTTGTTAATCAAATCTAATTAATAGCTTATTTATTATGTAACCCTGGGCAAATTGTATACTTGGAAGGCCTGCATAATAAGCAGCTAAAACAGTTGAGCACCTACTAATCCCTAAAGCTCTTTGCTCATGAACGATTGAAAGTTCCATAGAAATGTTGCTTTTATGTTGTGGACATAAAATATAATTTCTTATAATAAAGGGCCTTACGCTCAATTAAATGAACTCATTTACGTTATCTCCTCACCTGTAACTTTTTGGGAACTGATGAGTGATGAATTGCACGTTATGTGATTCCAATAATAACTTTAGAGAAACAACCTTCTATTTCAGTCACTGAGTCAATGAATCGTTTCAAACAAATAATATTCATCAATTTTGATCCACATAACATTATGATGTGTGGTGAAAATATAATGTTATGTGATGTATTTTATCTCATTTATATGTTATTTTTGTAGGTATTTGTTGTTTTATATAGAATACAAGTTGAAAGAGCAATTGTAGAGCAAAAGAGAAGAATTAGGCTAAGTAGCAGTCGTGCGTCCCTTTTCATATCCCTAATGCTCCCGCACACATGTTGAACGTATAAGTAAGTGAAAGACAAAAAAAATTGAGAAGTATGTGTTCAAAGCCTAGTGTTCCGCGCCAAGACCACTGCCCTCTTGCCAACCCGACCAACTCCCACGTACTAATTATCTTAGATTGAGCATCGAAACACAAAAAGTCGCCCCAGTCCAACAACGCACCTACGCTTAGGGACGATGCACCCGCTCTACCCACTAGAGCGAGGGCGCCCCTTCATTTGTTTTGACCGTTCTCCACAGTTCCAAATCTGTCTGAGGTGTAATTCACATAAAAGCTTCGTCAATCCATCATTCCAACCTAAAAGACAATAACTTGTGTGTGTAATCACAAACTCATAGTAGATCAATTAAGCTGGATTAGACCTCATGTTATTTTTTCCCTTTTGCATTTTTCAAATAAAAATTTTTTGGTGTCTCTACCTCTTATTCATATTATCTTATTGTGCTAGACTTTCATGCGGTGTTGAAACGCTAAATAATCAATCTACCGTCAATAATCATCCAACACACATCAATTGTATTATTAGCATCATTTATATTCTAATAAAACATTAGTCTTGCATAATGAATAAAAAATAAAAAATATATATATTAACTTCAAATTTATTATTAAATATATAATATATAAATTCTTGAATTTAAATAATAATATTTTGTAATTATCTTAGAGATAAGCCAAACAAATAATCCAAAGGGATCAAAAGCTCTCCCCGCCAGCCTTCTTTCGGGTCCGCCATCCTTCCCAATCGTTTGACCAGCCGTACCTAAAATACAAGACTTTTGTCTATTTCGATTTTGAATGTGCTGCTTCGCTCCTTCCCTTCTCTAATAAGTGTCCTCGAGGATAACATACATCCTCTGAGCCTCTCTTCTTTCCAAGTTAAAACCCTTTTTTTCTTCATCCTCGCTTACCTACTTTCCTGGCTTTGTGGATACTGTGGTGGTTATAGGAAGGCTGGGAGAAGCAATGGCTTGCAAGGAAGGTGAGTGTCTTTTTCCCCTCAAATTGAGCGGAGAATAGAGAAGCTTATGAGCTGGTTTGCCGGAGGTGAAGGACCGATGGTGCTGATGAGCTATTTTTCTCTTTGTGCAGTGCTCAGTCAAGATGATCAAGAGAAAGCCATGGAGGGATCTGAGAAAGGTTAGTTTTTTATGGTTGTTTTTTTATTATTTTTTTATTTGGACGGGAAGAATGGCACACCTCATCTTTAATGGAGGAGTACAGTTAAAACTTTTAAAAGTACTCAGTTTTTGTTTGTTTTTTCCCATCATTTGAATTAAAGTTCTGCTCTTTAAGTGGTTTGGACATTTGGCTGTTTGGTATGAGGAAAATGTGGACGACCGAGAAGGACGGTAGGAGTGTATTATAATATTTGGAGAGAAGATGGTTTTTTGTTTTGTCTCCCTGTCCACATTCATTTGTGAAGAAGACCAGCAAACGCTGAGGATAGGACTTTTCCTCTCGTTGCTCTTCGATTCCAGTCTTCTATGAGGAAATACAAGGGCATACAAATATCTAAATCGTGTCAAAGGAAAACGTCAAAATCAGTTTTTTATTTACCATTCCCCACAGTTTTCTACGTTTCACATTCATTTTTTATCAAAATTGCAGAGGAAAAGAAAGAGAATTTGAAAATGAAGTCTGAGGAGAATAGTACCGAGTGTGCTGATGGCTCAGGTCAATCCTTTCCTCGTGGAGTGGTAGAGATTCCAATATCTGAAGTTCATTCTGATGGTGGAAGCAGCAGCGAGAGTTCGTCCTCAGAGAGATCGGTGAGTTCGGATGGGAGCTCGTTGGAATCTCATAATTCTCAGCGGAGAAGTCTGATCGGCGGGCTGCGTCTAAGGAAGAACATGTCTATTAGGAGGTTGTCGACTTTCCCACCATCATTAAGAGGCTCGTTTTCTGAGAGGAGGAGCTCGGAGAGTTTTTCAAGCTGCAAAGATCAATCAAGTATAGATTTAGAGGAGACTCCAATGAGGAGGCCATCTTGGAGAAACTTTGAGTACCAAGAGCTTGTAGTGGCAACGAATAACTTCAGCCATGGTAAATTCATATCATGAATTTTCCATTGGATTAGTAATTTTTGTGGCAAGTTTGTTTCGTGAAATTGCTAGTTCATCTTTCTTATAGTTGGTGATATACTTTGAACTTTGAAAGATGCTATAATTGTTGTTGAAGAAAGCTGCTGCAGGAAAGAAAAGAACTAATTTTTTAATCACCTGCGCACTGTTAAGGAACTACTAAGTGTAAATTTATGATTACTTGTACTGATTTTCAGTCTCAAGATTCTTTTATTTTTGCTGGTTGAATACAATTTCATGTAGTGAGTTATTCAATTGGTTCTTTTAGCGTTCATTTTGAGGCAGCTTTTCATAAATTTTCTTTACAAACAGTTGTTGCAAGTTGTTGTAGTCATGTTTGACTTTAGGAAATTAAGTTTGTTTTTTTTTTAAATCATCAATTTTCTATTTTGTTGAATCTAAATGAACACATCCGCTTTATTTTAACTTTCTTCAACCTCTTACATGATTAATATTTCTTCTATACTTTATTTGGTTGACCATTGGATTTTTCATATTCAAATTCTGCAGAAAATTTAATTGGAAAAGGAGGACATGCAGAGGTTTACAAAGGCCGCCTTCCTAACGGCCAACTAGTGGCTGTCAAGAGGTTAACTAAGACAGACAAAGAGGATGAGAGAATTGGTTATTTCTTATCTGAGCTTGGAATCATTGCGCACGTTAACCATCCGAATGCTGCACAGCTTCTGGGCTTTAGTGTTGAGGGAGGATTACACATGGTTCTCCAATTCTCTCCACATGGAAGTTTGGCCTCCTTGCTTCATGGTATAACATTCGATAAATGTTGTGCTTTTGATACTTCTTATACCATTCTTAATACTTCGGCCGCCAACTTTGATGAGTTCTTCTCTTAATGCTTCCCATTGTGATCCTAAAAACTATTAGAGAAATTTACTTTGATAGTTGAGCACCTACTAGTCGTACATAATTCTTATGTATTTATATATCTCACAACTAAACGTTCATTTTTACGTACATAATATTTTGGTGTTTTAAATTTATACATGAAAAGGTGCATTTTACTTTTAATAAGTGTTAATAGTATTTTTAATGTGCTATTAAACATTTGAGTGCCGTGTTTAAGAAAAATTTAGTTCTACAGGTTCTAAGGAGGGCCTTAAGTGGAAGAAAAGGTTTGATATTGCCTTGAAGGTAGCAGAAGGGCTTTGCTATCTTCATGAAGGATGCCAAAGGCGCATTATACATAGAGACATAAAGGCCTCCAACGTTCTTCTCACTAAAGATTACCAACCTCAGGTGAATAAACCACACTTTTAGCTCTCTTCTACTGTCCATTAGGCCAATTTTCAAAAACACACATTGCTTTTTGCCATTCAGATATCCGACTTCGGGCTTGCGAAATGGCTCCCAGACAAATGGAGCCACCATATTGTGTTTCCCATTGAAGGCACATTTGGGTGAGAATAATTCATGCAAAATTAAGTGGTAAATTAAATTAATGGCAAATTTACATACCTAGCACAAAATTTCTTTGTATGTCATATCTCATTTCTAAACTTTCACAGTTACTTATGTAGCATTTTGGTGCTTTAAACCTATGAATGAAAAGGTGTATTTCACTTCTAAAATGATGTAATATTAAATAATTGAGTGCTATGTGTGTAAATATGAAAGTTTAGCCGTGAGATATGTAAACACATTAAGAATTGTGTAACATGTATGTAAATGTCCCGAAATTAATTTGTATTTCTCTCATGTTATTAAAGCAATTTTATCCTGTTATTCAGATACATGGCTCCTGAGTACTTCATGCATGGAGTGGTGAATGAGAAGACTGATGTGTTTGCATTTGGGGTACTGCTGCTTGAGCTCATAACTGGCAGGAAAGCGGTTGATTCCTCTCAAAAAAGTCTGGTGATATGGGTATGATTTGTTGTGCCACATTATATTTGTCTCATGTGTGTAATTTACCTTTATTTCTTACTTAAATCAAGAAATTTATAACTAAGGATCCGATTGGGATGGTTGCAGTCATGTGTAACAGTTATTGTGGAACTGTTGCGAGGAAAGTGTAGTTTTTGAAAATTTTACAAGTTAGATTTTGTCTCTTAAAAAATTAGATGATAGATTTCTTAGAAGCATTATACTTCGATAGATTTGATTGTAAAAAGCTACTTTCTTCACATGAAATTTTGCTAAATTTTAAGAAAATTGTACAAAAACATAATTGTAAAATTACAAAATTAGGAAATAATTATCTGCCCTCTAAAGATCTATTTGAGGCAACATTTTCACAGCTTTGATTTTTAGAAATTGACACATTTTCTTCTTTGCTGCTTTTGGTAATATTTATGATGGGAAGCAGTTTTTTATTGCTAAATATACTAGAATGTTCACAATAAATTTAAAAAAAATAGGATTTTTTTACAAAAAAAAAAGGAACTATTTTTACAAACAATTACAATTGCCTTAAACCGATTCTAAGTTGATGTGTGTGGCCTTGGAATTTAGGTGCAAATTTTTGAGCGGTTGATGCTTGTTGGTGTGCTTGATTTCTCTTGCAATCTATGGTCTGTCATGCTTCCACTTTCCTGATTCCTGTTCATAAACTTATTCTCTGATCATCACATCAAATATATTAACTTGTTTGCCAGTTTGGTCATAACTTTCTGGTGGTGCTACCATCAACATGTTGAATATTAATTTTATGGATAGCTATGTGATTAATATTAATTATCTTCAGTAAATTATGGCTAATCTCTCCTAGATCCATGTGCTCATAGAGGCTACCTCGCTACTCTGAGTGCATTAATTTGTTAGAAATAATCCCATAGCCACTACCATAAATCTATGTTTTATGTAATTTTTATTATCAGAATTATAGCCTTGAAAGAATCAAACCAAATTTGAATATGAAGAAAGTGTTCAACTTGTTAGTTGGAGCACGATTTTTTACTGTTCCTGCGAAGACGCCGGCTCTTGCTTTCCCGACTCTTCGCTTCCGATCGCGAGAGGTCGCGTCCCAGCTCTCGCAAGCTGTTCTGGTCGAATTGTTCCCGTGAACCGATCTTGTTGTTTCGCGAAGAGTCGCAACCCCCGCCTCCTTGATTCACGAAACCGAGAGGTCTTCTTAGGTCTTCGACATTTTTTCTTCCTTTTCTCAAGCAACAGGATCCAGCGTCGAAGAGGAAGAAAGGTATTCCGAGGTATCACATGACTCTCCTTCAGATTATGCACGACTTTATTTGTGTTCTTCTTCGAACTTCCTCGAGATAGAGGAAGAGAAGTGCAAGCAGTATTTCCTTGCGGCAGAAGAAAGAAGAAAGAAGAAGAATTTTGTTCTCCCTTGGCTTCTTCTTGGTGGCTTGTGGTAGAAGTAAAATTGGATTTATTTCTCTTGTAAGTTTATCTTCTTCGGTGTATCTCGGTATAGAAAGAAAAGAAGAGAGAGCAAGGAAGTGAGAGATCCCTCTTGTAAGTCGAGACGATCGACTTGCGTAAATTCTTCAAGTAGTAAAATCTCCTGCAACTCCGTGGACATAGACAATTTGCCTAACCACGTAAATCTGTATGTTTCGCTGTGTTACTGTTTTCTGGTGTGAATTTTCTCGTTCTATTTTTTGCTTCATCAAAGACTGTTATTCTATTTTAAATTTCATATATATCACAATAATTAGTATCAGAGCTTTGTTTCGGATCTGAGAAAGACGATGACTGCAGATGAAGTGAAGGTTTTAGGGATCGAGAAGTTTGATGACACAGATTTTAGTTATTGAAGAATGCAGATAGAGAACTACCTCTATGAGAAGAAACTTCATCTTACGTTATTGGGGAAGAGACCTGAAATGATGAATGAGGCTGAATAGAATTTGTTGGATCGACAAGTTATTAGGGTTATTCGATTGACCCTGTCGAGGTCCGTTGTACACAAAGTCGTTAAGGAAATGATGATTGCAAATCTCATGGCAGTCTTATCAGGCATGTATAAAAAGTCATCAGCGAATAATAATGTGTACTTGAAGAATACGTTATTCAATTTGAAGATGGTGGAATGTGTTTTTATTGCTCAACATTTGAATGATTTCAATATTATCACAAATCAATTGTCGTATGTTAAAATTAATTTTGATGATAAGACACGTGCGTTGATATTGTTGGCATCTTTGTCAAATAGTTGAGAAGTCATGAGGATGACAGTTAACAGTTCTGCAGATAAATTTAAATTGAAATGTCATGATATTCGTGATTTGATTTTGGCTGAGGAGGTACGCAGAAAAGATTCTAGCGAAATCTCAGGTTCGAGTTCGACACTGAATGTTGATTTTAGAGGGAGATGGCAAGACATGAACTCAAATAAAGGGAGATCAAAATCAAAGTCTGGATAACAGATAATCTGCTGGAATTGTGGCAATGCTGGTCATATAAAGAGGAACTACAAAAATCCCAAAAAGATGGAGAATGATATCGCAAATGTGGTATCTGAAGAAGTACATGATGCACTTTTGCTGACAGTTCATAGTTATGTTGATGATGGAAGTGAAGATGAGAGTGGGTCCGGAACACCCATTTCTATTATTCCACAGATAGATGGTGAAGAACTACAAAGCTATGAAGAAATCTTGTAAGATGAAAATTCGAACAAGTGAGAACTAGTAGAACTTCCACCAATAAAGAATGTATTACACAACAAGTGGGTGTATCGAGTGAAGATTGAGCTTGATGATAGTAAGAGGTACAAGACTAGACTTGTTGAAAAATGCTTTCAGCAGATGTAAGATATTGTCCATGCAATGAGAGTTGTAAGCAGAGACAATAGTAACCTAGGAAATAACTTGGAGGTGCAAGGCTATGTGGAAACTGCCGATATGTTGACTAAGTGAGTTATTCTCGAGAAACTGAAGTTGTGCACAACTTCAGTTGGTCTTCTGGTGTGAAGACAGAGGTTTTGAGTTGCAAAGGTGGAAAATTTATGTTTGAAGAAGAAAAAGGCGACGCCGCCAGTAGGGGATATTCATTTGAGGAAGGAGATGTTGTCTGTTTATCGGTCTCCAAATGGGAGATTTATTAGTTGGAGCCCGATTTTATATTGTACCTGCGAAGACGCCCGCTCCTACTTTCCCGACTCTTCGCTTCTGATCGCGAGAGGTCGCATCCCAGCTCCCGCAAACCGATCTTGTTGTTTCGCGAAGAGTCGCAACCCCCGCCTCCTCATAATACACGAAACCGAGAAGTCTTCTTAGGTCTTCGACATTTTTTTTCCTCTGCTCGAGGAGTAGGATCTAGCGTTGAAGAGGAATTAAGGTATTACGAGGTATCACACAGCTCTCCTTCAGATTATGCATGATCTTATTTGTGTTCTTCTTCGGGCTTCCTCGGGCTTCCTCGGGATAAAGGAAGAGAAGTACAAGTAGTAGTTCCTTGCGGCAGAAGGAAGAAGAAAAAAGAAGAAAATGATTGTTCTTCCTTGACTTCTTCTTGTTGGTTTGTGGCAGAAGAGAAATTTGATTTATTTCTCTTGTAAGTTTATCTTCTACGGTATATCTTGGTGTAGATAGAGAAGAGAGAACAAGGAAGTGAGAGATCCTTTTTGTAAGTCGAGACAATCGATTGGTATAAATTTTTCAATTAGTAAAATCCTCTGCAACTCCGTGGACGTAGGCAATCTGCCGAACCACGTAAATTTATGTGTTCCGATGTGTTGTTGTTTTCTTGTGTGAATTTTCTCGTTTTTATTTTTCGCTTCATCAAAGATCGTTCTTCCATTTTAAATTTCATATATACAACAACACAATTTTTATAGCAATCGAGTCAAATTATCAATTTGAGCCTATGCCAATTGATCCACAACTTAAAATTGTGCAAATTGACCCCAGCTAAGCCTACTAATGAGACTTCAATCAATGTTTACAAAAGATCTTCAAAAAATTCTCATTCTCTAAATTAGAATGTTTCACAATACATTGATCTTAGTTTTCATTTTGTCAAGCCTATCAACGGCTAACAAACATGATCGTTGGAAAGATGCCATGGCTAACAAAATTTATGTTTTTCTGAACAATCTTACATGGGGTTTGTTTAGATTCCTTCAATCATTAAAGCCATGTGATGAGAAATGGTATATTTAATTAAACATCGCTCTTATGAAACTGTTAATTACTACAAAGCATAGTTGGTTGTTATTGGTAACAAGCAGGAAGATATGATTGATTATAAAAGAAATATTTACTCTTGTGATAAAAATGTTTATAGCAGAGGTGATCATTGATCCCGATTTTCTATATATATATATATATATATATATATATATACAATGTGATGTATGCGATTATATGATTAATTTTCTTAATAATTATTATTAATTTACAATAAAGCCAAAAATTTGATACAAAGTAAAAACTAGGTAAATCTTTCACTATGAAGCAAATAAGAATGCAATTATAATATTTCAATATGTGATAGTACGCAAGTATACCCATTGTTATTAAGTAATATAAAACTTTCTGATTAAGTTCTGAGTATCGAACCCACAGGAAGAACTAGATTTAGATAACAAAATTTACTTTGCAATATATTCCTACTTAAACTTAAAATGCTAAAATGTGAATGAAAGTTCGATTCTTTTTGTAATTTTTTATAATTGAAAATAAAGTAAGCAACTAATTAACTTAACTAAAATACTTGCGAGATGAAAACAATATAAATAAAATATATTTTTTTTTATTATGAATCAATGATAAATATAAAAATTCTGTTGTGGACGTGTGTTAAATGTGTTTTGTCAAATATGAACAATAATATTCTTTACCCTTACTAGGTATCTTATAAAAAAATATTAGGTAATCTATAGTTTGAACAGTCTTGAAGATCGTCTAGGCGGGGAAGATACTAGCTCTCACTGTAGAGTTTCTTCTTCTCCCTCCACC